CCCCCCCCCCCCCCCGTTTTTTTTTTTTTTTCCCGATTTCCCGATTTTTTCGGGGTGTTTTTCCCCCCCTCCCCCAGCTCTTCGAGGCCTCCTCCTGCACCTACACCTACCTGCTGGCCGACGCCCGCAGCGGCGACGCCGTCATCATCGACCCCGTGCTGGAGACGGTGCCCCGGGACCTGCGGCTGCTGCGGGAGCTCGGCCTCACCCTGCACTACGCAGGTGCGGCCCCGCCCACCGCGGACACGCCCCTCCTGACCCCGCCCACCCGCTCCTTTCACCCCCTCCCGCTGGCCTCAACCGCTCTCCTGAGGCGCTGGCCCTTTAAGGGTTCCCCGTGTGCTCCTTGGGCCCCGCCCACCGCGGGCACGCCCCTCCTGACCCCGCCCACCCGCTCCTTTCACCCCCGCCCACTCATCTGAAAAGCGGCTGTAAGGCGCTGGCCCTTTAAGAGCTGCCTGTGTGTCCCTTTGGCCCCGCCCACCTGGTTTTTAAGCTCCTCCCACCTGCTTGAAAAGCGCGTATAAGGTGCTGGCCCTTTAAGAGCCGCCTGTGTGTCCCCTTGGCCCCGCCCACAGTGAACACGCCCCTTTTAACCCCGCCCACCTGGTCCTTTAAGCTCCTCCCACCTGTTTGAAAAGCATCTATAAGGCGCTGGCCCTTTAAGAGCCGCCCGTGCGCCCCTTTAAACCCCGCCCACCTGGTTTTAAGCCCCTCCCACAACACCACACCCCTTTAAACCCCGCCCCCACGGTCCTTTAAGCTCCTCCCACCCCTTTGAAAAGCGCTGGCCCTTTAAGAGCTGCCCGTGTGTCCCTTGGGCCCCGCCCACCTGGTTTTAAGCCCCTCCCACAACACCACACCCCTTTAAACCCCGCCCCATGACCCTTTAAACCCCTCCCACTGGTCTGAAAAGCGTCTATAAGGCGCTGGCCCTTTAAGAACTGCCCGTGCGCCCCTTAGTCCCCGCCCACCTGGTCTTTGTAAGCCCCTCCCACAATGCCACGCCCCTTTAATCCCCGCCCCCAATGGCCCTTTAAGCCCCTCCCACGCGTTTGAAAGGCGCTGGCCCTTTAAGAGCTGCCCGTGTGTCCCTTTAAGCCCCTCCCACAGCGCCACGCCCCTTTAAGCCCCGCCCACGCGGCCCTTACTGGGAGTCACTGGGAGTCACTGGGAGCTCCCTGCCGTG